GGGCTGTCGTGGACCAGGTTCAAAAGATCTCAGAGAACAGAGGTCACTGGAGGCGTGCTACTGAAGCCCTATGTTCCACTAGGAACCCAAGGGACTAAAAAAAAAAAAAATCCATTCAATGAGGATCATATGCTAATCAATAAATGCACTGACTACCCGTGTACAGAATAGTAGACTTTGGTGTTCTCTGAGCTTCAATATTTTATCGTGAACGTTTCTCAATGAATAAACCTATCGTTGACTGTTTCTAAGATATCTTTGTATCGGAGTACCCCAAAAACCACAAAGTCACCATACAGCATGTTGTGTAGACCAAAACATCCGTTTGCAAAAGAGAACAGGAGAAATATCTTCCTAAACCAACATCAAAGATTGTTCACTACACAATATTGACCAGTCTATCCATCGAGTTGTTCAAAGAATTGATAAACACCAACTAGCAGTGAAGTGACATGACATGATCTCCTTGGTTTCAAGGAATGCAGACAATCATGATCATAAAATTCAACTTGAAGAATATGGAAATCCTACAAAGAACAGGTTCAAAAGATGTAAGAGAGAATTTTTTAGAAGCATAGCACTCAAATGAAGAGTCAGTCAACAAATATGTGGACATAGATCCAATCTACAATCTACTTTGTCATTCATCAATCAAGAAAGAATCAGTCAAACAAATCGGAAGTGATGCACAGTGTGACAGTGACAAACAGTATAATTTCACTTCAACAAAGATTATTCACATGTGTGAGTAGAGAAATTTAGGGTCAAAGGAGTAAAGGTGTGGTAAAAAATCTTTCCCCCAAGTTGTTTTGAGATAACACTGAAGGTCAATGAAAACACGATCTAAACATTCTTGTCAGAATTGAATATGCTTCACTTCTTTATAAAGTTAATACTGACAAGTCTAGTGATGAAACATCCACGATGGGATACCAAAAGCTAAGGAAACACCAAACCACCAATATCCACATTTTGAACTATGAATATTTTCAACTGTTTCAATCATAGGCTTCTTGATTGGCATCTAACAGATGTTTCGGGGTCTGATCATCCATCCAAATCAACCTAGGACCAGGCATTACTGCTTAACGGTCCGAGTTGCCACACCTCATATCACTATATCAAGTAAAAAGGCAGTGAGGTGGAAGATGAAGATAAGAGAATGCAGTCAAAAGAAATATAAGGTACAAAAAGAGAGAAAGCAAGAATGAGAAAATGGTGAGATTCGGTATTGCCCCTTTGAGATGAGGATAATGTGTGTTCTCAGCCATATGATCACCTAGAATCAGTCTCCAACCAGTGGTTCCTTTTGTCCCACCGACCCAAACCACCTAGTCTGCATCGACCCACCAAATGGCTCAAGCCAACAGTCAGAGACTTCATACATTGGTGCCATGTTTTAGTGTGGCCACTCGGGTCATTTTCCGGCCTGGACCTACTTCAGCTAACATTGTGTGACGAGGCATCGGTGACTAGGCATACGTAATACGTGTCCCAACCATGTCAATGGATGAAGGTTCGTAATGTCGTCTACTGATATACCTCTACACCCTAAAATTCTACTCCTGACTTCTGCATTACTCACATGGTGGCATGATGGGGTACGTCCTATACTATGAAGGCAATGGTGGTCAAACACTTGAGGCCCAGTTAGCTCAGTCGGTAGAGCAATCAGACTTTTTTGGGGGTCTGATACAATTTCTTTATTTCTATTCTGTTATAAACTGTGTCAGTTTTTGTTAGAGATCCTTAATCCGTAAGAATAACTAACTTATAATATGCTTACATTATCAAGAAATTTAAACCTTATTTTCGCGCCCTTTCCGCGCTATACTATTTCACTTATTTTTACCGCAGTTTAGGATACTAAACGCTTACTGGTCCATTTTACACTTTTAATATGCAATTTTGTTCCCCTTGGCCAAGGTCATCTAAAGATACGTAAATGACCGAGGTTTCAGCTATCAGGATTCACTTAAAGTGACTTCACTTTCACTCATTTCGTCTTCTTTTGGTGTTAGATGAATATGGAGTTGAGAAGTCATTTTTCTATCGTTAATTCTATCCCGTTGTAGTATTGCATCGTTATATACACCGTGGATCATACAGTTTTCAAGTGGTACTCTTGTCGCACAAAAAGCTTAAAGATTTTTTGAATATCTACTTACAAATGGTTCATTTCTATGGTGAGTTTTCAAATTTTATGAGTAGGATAAGACGACCAGAAGAATTTCAAGTTATTTATTTATGTGTGGTGAAAACATTTCTGGTGAGATCAAGCACGGTTTTCATGTTGGTAGACTGTCTTGAAATACCAAATGAAAAGCCTTTCAAGCAATTATTATTATTACTGTTTGTTGATATGCTTGTACTTCTCCGTTATCTTACTGGATCGAATCGTTCGACCTCTATTGGCATATGGGCTCCTATGTGGATGCCCTGATACTGCCTGAATATTAATTATGATAATTTACTTGGTTGTGACTAGCAGAGGAATCCAGAACTCGCGTTTCGTCCCATTCGGGATTCGTCAGCCAGAAGTACCCGCAGCCCAACCAGTGATGTTGTTCCCACTGGAGTCAAAGAATTCAATCCAATAAAACGACGGGGAATTTAAAGCATATCATAATAACTAATACGCGCTGTACACGAAGTGGCTATCGTGCCTCAGTGGCCTAGGGGATAACACCTTGGCATTTGAGCGATGGGTCGAGTTTCAAGTCTTGATGGGAACATCACTCACCACCGGGGTGCGCACACATTCAGCTGAAGAGTTCCAAATAGGACGAAGCGCTCGTCCTGTATTCCTTTGCTAGTCAAGTATCATTATATTATCACTGTCATATAAGAGTGAAATTCCCTCACTGTGGTAGATTACAATTCCACTTCAGTTTGTTTATCGAAAGTATTATTGGATGAAACAGTATTGTTTACTGGATAACTTCAAGGTCACGATTTGGTTTCCATAGTTATGTCAAGGTAACCAACTATGTATGGAATGGTAAGAGTGATTCAACAGTACCTGTTCCAGATATATGAGGAACTGTATTATCCTATCTCTCCTCTTTGTACTACAGCTGATAGACAAACTGGAATCGAAGTACAAGTGTCAGTTAGATCATTTTTGTAATGTCATAATGATTGCAGGTAAAATGAAGTCTTCACTAGCAGAAGTGCTTAATTCACCACCCTGTGGGTACTCGCTGGACACTTTATCAGCTGAATTACAAGATTTAGTTGCTGACCACGTTTCATTTCAATTTAAGCATCAAGGTTGATTGATTCATAACTGTCCACTTATTGTAAAATCAAATTTCTTCTTGAAAAATTTACTCCTTACAATTCATCGAATAGTACAACATTGTAGTGTTTAAACTTTTATATCGATGACCTTGAGGCATTTTTGGTGCACGCTTCTGATTGGCTGTAATTATCAGTTTATATCACTGTTTCATTGGATAAGTAAACTGCTAGTTAATATTTACTTATTGCATCACAAAGCAATTCACCATTATCATACCATTTTTTTGATTTTGTTTACTCGCAGATATCTCAGTTAAGAAGTAACAACCAGCTAATTTCCGAAGTGAACTACATTTGCAGAAAGTAATTAGTTATCAACAATTTATCCTTTGATAATGACTTCAGTCTGAAAGAGAGACAGATAAAACCAAAGTAAAACCTCACATACAGGTTCATCGGCTCATGTTACTACACTTCACAGTAGTATACAAAGAATAAGTGGATAGAAGAAGACTGATATCAAAGGAGACAAAGTTGTGTGAGAGAATAAATAATTTGAAGATAACAGCTGGTGTAAATATTCCGGTTACAAAAGAAGTCGAAGAGTGGATAGATCCGCTCCACTGTGGCCGTTTTTCAGCCATGCCACCACGACTCTTCAATAACTGACTCCTTTCATCTTAGGAACTCGAGACAGGTAGCTAGTCTACACCACCGTACATGACTCAGATAATGAGTCAGAGATCTCACTGACTGGTGAACAGACCACTCCCAGACCTCTTTCAATCTACTTCAGTCCTGCTAACACTAGACATTGGGATGGGTGGTGGGGTGGGTTGTCATGCTCAGTACATGTGTAAGCTATCTGAGTGGATGAAAGTAGAGAACCTCATCGACTGACTTGTGTATGAGTTGTCTAGTACTCTTCATCTTACCTCGACACTTCTCACTTGATGATTCCACTTTATGTGAGCAATACTAGTAAGAGACGTGTGATGGAAAACCTGTAACCGCTTGATGTTGTTTACTCTCACCAAAATTGTCTTATAGGCATATAACAGGACAGAAAGAACTGCAGGCCATGATACTTGTTCCTTGATAGATAATCAGATATCTCCCAACTTACCCTAGAGATGACGATGTAGGTTGGAAAATGTCAGACTAGCCTTTAATATCTGAGTTGACATTTCGTCAGCAGATACAAGTAAGAGAAGTAATCAACTCATTCTTTCGCTTCACTTCGTACCATAAATAAGAAGTAGCTGCAACTGATCTCGAAAGATCATCCTATATTAGATAGCTGGGGAACGAACCTAGGTGGTACTAACATTCATTTAAAAGCGACAGATTAATATGACTCCATAAATAGTAAAACTGAAATATTTTCAGTAATTTAAGAACATTCTGAAGTTAACAAATTGCTTGAAAATAATTCGAAAAGTGAATCGGTTGATTAAAGCGTTTTCACACAAAGATAGGCGTGTATGCTATCTGGTATAAACTACCGACTTCTTAAATCCGTATAATGTCATTACTGGTACTATCTTAATATCTATAAAACGAAGCCAAATAGCAGTAGACATCGATCGATGTAGTTAAAAGTGATAAACAATAGAAAGAATTATGAGTTGGAACACCAATATACACACGTGGAATAAAAAGTGGATAGTGTAACTCAAAAAAACATAAGTAAGATACTCAAAATTACAACCAGTTGTATGACCCAACCAAATCTGAGTGGGAAAAAAATGACTCACCGGCAAGCAAACACATTCAGTTGAGAAGTTAAAGATACAACAAAACGTGTATCATGCTTGAATTCCTCCACTTGTCATCCACTAGTCAACATTTCAATCAATTTCAAAATAAAATTACCTAAACACTGACATACTACAAACCTTCTCTCACTATCCTCTAACATTAGTGTACATTGAAGAGATTAGATAGGTTGCCTCGAAATTCATGTCCATCAAAAACATTCAGTAGGATGACGTAGATCACTTTGAACACCTTCTTGTATCAACTGTCTACGAATACTATGAAATAGATGTGACAAGTGGAGCTCCTTCCAGATGTCAACTGATGTATTTACAGTCACAAAGGAGGTGGACAGGTACGCAGGTAAGTAGGTAGGTAGGTGGGTAGGTGGGTAGGTGGGTAGGTGGGTAGGTAGGTAGGTAGGTAGGTAGGTAGGTAGGTAGGTAGGTAGGTAGGTAGGTAGGTAGGTAGGTAGGTAGGTAGGTAGGTAGGTAGGTAGGTAGGTAGGTAGGTAGGTAGGTAGGTAGGTAGGTAGGTAGGTAGGTAGGTAGGTAGGTAGGTAGGTAGGTAGGTAGGTAGGTAGGTAGGTAGGTAGGTAGGTAGGTAGGTAGGTAGGTAGGTAGGTAGGTAGGTAGGTAGGTAGGTAGGTAGGTAGGTAGGTAGGTAGGTAGGTAGGTAGGTAGGTAGGTAGGTAGGTAGGTAGGTAGGTAGGTAGGGAGGGAGGGAGGGAGGGAGGGAGGGAGGGAGGGAGGTAGGGAGGTAGGTAGTCACCGATACACTGGTCAAATTGCCAAATACTACACACGATTTAACTATCAGTCTACACACCATCAATTAATAAATACACATGCACAGGGTGAAATTCACTAGCTTCTCCTTCATTTGACACAAAACAATTCGTCGAATTAGAACCGATAGACAGAGATCAACTGCATAAAAGGTTAATGTAATGTCCCTCAATACTCTGTGGAATAGGAATGGGAATGGGAACAATGGCTTCCCACCAACAACACTCACTACTACCAGTTAGTCACCTACACAACCTATTCACATCTACCTTCCTTACAAACATGTCGAAGATAGTCTATCTCACTTAACCAATTCCAATCATCTCCAAACTCACTATCTGTAGAATGTTTGCTGAGCAGATTTCCATTGCTCTGGTTGTCCAAATATTTCT